AAAAAAAACACAAAGTTACACATTTCTCTTGTGCTGATGTAGCAGAAATTCCCAGGTTATACCAAGCAGCCTTCCTGAATGTGATCAGTAGTACAAATTGCAACCACTGGCTGATATCTCATCTGAAAAATGTCTATCAACAATGTTCTCTGAACACATTTCCATGCCTTATGGTATTCAAGGAGACAACTATCTTTTCACAGTACACTCCTCTGACGGGTATCCTGTATGGGACTGAGCTCTAGAAGATAAATTAGAAAACTACTGGATACCTATATCATTACTGGGTATATATAGTACAGGAAGGGTAGGCTGGTTTACTTATGCAATATAGGGTAGAGATTCTTTTCCTCCCTTCATTGAGCTATAGATAGAAATTGTATGTGAAAAATCCATATAAAGCTATTCATTTGTGTAGAATCTAGTACTGTGATATAGCAGCATATAGAATCAAGATCAAACAGAAAAAGCTATCAAAGGAAAAACTCATTGTCTTTCATTATCACCTAATAAAGGTGCAAAGAACTCATAACACTACTGCAAACTAGGGAGAAGACCACTGAAGACATGAACAAGATAGATTAAATGATGAAGTTGTATGAGACTACATAGTAAACCATTAGGAAAGTGGACAATTATTTAGTCCAAAGACAACAGCACAAATATTGTTGTAGGACTAACACAAGTAGGCTCAATCCCAGCAGGCACAAGTTCATTAAAGAAAAGAACCATAACTGTTTATTGCTAGAGGGGAGCACACAAACAGCAACGCTGGCAACAGGAGGTGAAATGCCACATTCACTCAGAATCAGGAGAAGTCACACTTTTATGGGAGGAGCCACATCCTCTGAAGCTGTCTGAGCATGTGTTCTCCCAGGCTACACAGAAACTCTATTATAATAAAATGAACTCGTAATTGGAAGGCAGAGATCATTGCCCCAAGGCTACAGCACATGCTATAAAACTCACATGCAGTGATCACTTATATGGATTTTTTTCATTTTTCTACTAAATCCAGGGTGATGACGACTCATCTAAAATCAACACTATATAGGAAGGGTATTTTCCCTATCCTACTTAATGCTATGTCTAAAGGCAAGATATGATGTTACAAGTCATTGTTTAAACATTTTTAGCGCCACATTAAGCTGAATAGTAAATGCAAGTTGTTAAAGTAAGCAAGATCAACAGAACCATAGGGGCATTTTGGTAAAAGACTGAAAAGTTTATCTTCCTCCCCACACCCAAAACTGCTAAAGAAAAAATATGAAAACCACTGTACTTTCACAGGACACCCATTTTATTTACTGGGCTATCTTGACTACTTATGGAAAAGCAAGTGAAATATCTGAGTCAAGAAATATATGCAAGCAAGTAGTAACAATTAATTATCAAATTCTGTTAAGTATTACCTTATTTGTTGGATATTTATAGTATATTATATTTTGGTGCTTGTTTAAAAAAAAAAAAATTTGGTTAAAAGCAGTAAAAGATGAAGTTCATCTCTGGGAAGTGGGCCAACACAAGACCTATGCACCATTAATACCCACTTAAACCTTACTTTAAGCGCCTAAACAGAGCACAGGCCTCATGCTGGCCCTTTGTAGAGGGGGAATTTCACCCTAAATGAGTTTAGTCAGGTTTTACTGACTATAACCGTGCATAGTGGTCTGCACAAGTCCGTGTAAGCCCATATATATATATATATATATATATATATATATATACACACACTACACTACACACACACACAT